GTTAGCCCTGCTCTGCAAGGAGCAGTAAAAAATAATAAATAATAATAATAAATAAATAAGTGGTTGAATTGTATAGTATGTGATTTATATCTCAATTAAGTGTTAAAAAATGGAATGAGGCACCGACTCTCAGGTGCCAACCCTGCACTTCACAAACCTAAGCAAAAAGGCTTCCTCACATTTTGCACCTTGAGTTCTTTGCCTTGCTTCACTATATTCCTGGGTATGTTCTGCATCTATCTCCCCTTTCACAAAGACAACTTTTTATTTGTTGTTCTTGTTGGATCCCCTTGCCTCAGAGGAGGTTTTTATGTAACAGGGCTAAAAGTAGAAAATTGCTTGCGAGATACTTCCTTTCTGGGCTCTCTCTTTTTTTTAATAGAGTTCACTAGAGTTTATGACAAATATGTTTGTGAGCAACAAGAAAATACTTCTCTTTTCAGAGCAGTCACAGAGCCGAATGATAGATTTTTGTCAAGATTTAAAGTCTTAAAGTAGGCAGGTAATGAGAGAGAGAAGCCCTGAGCTCTGCCTGGTGGTAGCATTTCAAGGAATGGGCAAGATTTTAGAGGAGATGGCTATGCGGCAAACCTAGACGGAGGCTTTGGGGTTCCTAGCCTCAACCAAGTTTCCTGGTAATTGCTTACAAATGGTATGCAGGGAGAAAGCTGTCAGACTTCCAGTGTCAGTGACCACTACGGCTCTGGACAATGCAGATGCTTGCAGAAACCTTAATGAACTCGACCTATAGACCCTTCCTGTTTTCCAAGTACTAGATAAGGCCTGGGTGGGGAGGAAAATTCCAGATATTAATGAAAATTCAAATTTTTGCTGCCCTAACAGAATGAGAAATTCCAGTCTTTTAATAATTTTTTTTTTTTCTCTTTTTAGAGACAGGGTTCTGTTGCCCAGGCTGGAGTGCAGTGGCACAGTCAAGGCTCACTGCAGCCTGGAACTTCTGCCTTACCCTCCCAAGTAGCTACAACTACAGACCTGAGCCACTATGCCCAGCTAACTAAAAAAAAAAAAAAAAAATTGTTGTTGTTTTGTAGAAACAGGGTGTTGCCTTGTTGCCCAGGCTGGTGTCAAACTCCTGGGCTAAAGGATCCTCCTACCTTGGCCTCCCAAAATGCTGGGATTAGAGGTATGAGCCACCATGCTTGGCTAGATTTTTTGTTAATAATAAAGAAATGTGTATTTCTTATACAGTGGAGGTTTTTCTTTTAAACTTTTTTATTTTGAAATAATTTCACAGCTGGGTGTGGTGACTCATTCCTGTAATCCCAGCACTTTGGGAGGCCGAGGCAGGAGGATTGCTCAAGCCCAGGAACACAAGACCAGCCTGCGCAACATGGCAAGACCTTGTCTCTACAAATAATTAAAAAATTAGCCAGGTGTGGTGGCGGGCAACTGTGGTCCCAGCTATGCAGGAGGCTGAGGAGGGAGGATCATTTGAGCTCAGGAGGTCAAGGCTGCAGCAAGCCATCATCACGTCACCTCACTCCAGCCTGGGCAACAGAACAGGACCCAGTCTCAAAAAAGAAAAGAAAAGAAAAAAATAATTTCAAAGTTACAAAAATAAAAATAGTGCAAATAATACATATATATTGTGTGTGTGTGTGTGTATATATATATATATTTTTTTGTTGTTGTTGTTTAGAGAGAGATTTTGCTCTTGTCACCCAGGCTGGAGTGTAATGTGTGATCTTGGCTCACTGCAACCCCCACCTCCCAGGTTCAAGCATTTCTCCTGCCTCAGCCTCCCAAGTAGCTGGGATTACAGGTGCCTGCCACCATGCCTGGCTAATTTTTGTATTTTCAGTAGTGACAGGGTGGTCTTGAACTCCTGACCTCTGGTGATCCACCCACCTCAGCCTCCCAAAGTGCTGGGATTACAGGTGTGAGCCACTGCGCCCAGCTATTCATAAATTCTTTACCCAGATCCACCCACTGTTAACATTTTCCTCCATTTGCTTTGTCCTTTGCTATTCATTCAACTATGTAATATATATATTTGTATATAGACATATATAATAAATATTTGTATAGACATACACATGGTATTTTTTAAAATCATTGGAGGGTAAGTTATATATATTAGGATTCTAAGATATTAGGTCCATTATATGTAATATTGGTAACATACTATATTATATACACATGTAGTAAATATAATACAGTCATATGCTGCATAAGGATGTTTCGGTCAAAGAACAGCATATACAATGGTGGTCCCATAACCTTATAATGGGGCTGAAATATTCCTATGACTGAGTGATATCTTGATGATCCTGACCCAGTGTAGGCCTAGGCTTCTGTGTACGGCGCTTATAAAGTCTACAGTAGTGTACAATAGTGTCCTAGGCCTTCCCATTCACTCACCATTCACGTACTGACTCACTCAGAGCTACTTTCAGTCCTGCAAGCTCCATTCATGGTAAGTGCACTATATAGGTGTGCCATTTTATATTTTTAAACCATAATTTTTATACCAAAAGTTGTACCTTTTCTATATTGAGATATGTTTAGATATCCAAATGCTTACAACTGTGTTACAGTCCCCTATAGTATTCAGTACAGCAGCATACTGTACAGGTTTGTAGCCTGGGAGCAATAGGCTATACCATGTAGCCTAGGTGTGTAGTGGGCTATACCATCTAGGTTTATATACTCTATGATGTTAAGATGACAGAATCACCTAATGATGCATTTCTCAGAACATATCCCTGCCATTAAGTGATGTATGTCTGCATATGGGGACCAAGAAGCCTATTCTTTTTCATAACCACAGCTAATGTTGCCAGGCTTAGCAAATAAAAATGCAGGATGCCGTGGGCAAATTCCAACAGAAATGAAAGCTCTGAGCTTTCCCAGACTGGGGGAACTACTATACTTCCTCTGCTGAACACACTTAGACACTGTTGTTGGATTTGATGAGTTGGAGGATGCTTACCCTCCAACGTCCGAACAATAAACCTAATCCGCTGGGCAAGATTTCTGGTAAGTAGTTAATGTCTGCTGTGATCTTGCTGATAAAAGTGAAGGTTAGTTGGGTTAGTTGGCTCTTTTTTTCCATCTCTTGAAAGCTCTGTTGATTTGGTAGTGTTTCTCAGAAATGAATGAATAAGAATTGTCTTATAAAAAAAACTGTTTAACAAATTTAAATATAAATCATCACTGGATCTTGTTAAAATGTAGATTCTGATGCAGCAGAACTGGAGTGGAGTCTGAAATTTTGTATTTCTTAAAAAGCTTCCAGAGGACATCAGCACAGTGGTCCTCCTAATCACACTTTGAGTTGTGAGATTATGGCCACCTCTGTGACAGTCAATAGATATTTCAAATATGCAGGTACCTGGGCCCTATGCCAATGTATTGATTCAGAATCTCTGGAGGCAGTGTCCAGGAATATGAATTTAAACAAACCCCTAGGGAGATATGAAAACCACTAGTCTATGGGTTTGAAATATCCTCTATCTTATTCTCAACATGTTTATGTTGTTTCTGAAAGCCTAGTGCAGGTCCCTCCTGCTTGATGCTTTTTTCATTGACCACCTCAGATGTAAATTCATTAACAGTTGTTGGCAGCATTTGCTATTTATCATGGGCTTTCTTTTCTTACATATATCCTGTCTCCTTAGATGTTATTTCTCGAAATGAACAATTATATAGATTCTTGTAGCCTCAGCTCCTACCATAATGCTTAGCAGAGAGTAAATGTATCATGGACAATAATGGTGATGGTAGTGGAAGATGAATTTCTCTCCAGGACACGTGATTGTTTCCCAGGCCTTGTGTAATTAAAAGAACAAGAGTCCTGCTGACTCCACAAAAGAAACAATCACTTAGCAAAAACTGCAACTCCCGACTATGGCATGTTTTTCAGAAACTGGAACCACAATCCTTTTGTACCTTGGTAGTTTAAATGGCACTTTAAAGGAAATAAAGTAATACTTTGAACTTATTATGTCTTTTATCTGTGAAACGCAGACTAATGCCATTTATTAAGTTACTGTACAGCCATGATGTAAATATTATCATACCCTCCTCACAAAAAAGCTGACTAGGGAAAGAGTTGTAATATACTTGGTCAAAATCATAGCCATTCTAAGAAGGCCAGACCAAGAAATGGAGGAGTAGCTAGGTGGCTGACAGGTCAGCACTTCTCAGCGTTTCCCAGACCTCAAGTTAGGTGAGCATTCCATAGGAGAGGCGGCTAAGAAGTAACGGAAGACTATTTCAATTTGAGTGAACCAATTTCCTCTTCCTCAGTATTCCCATTACCATTGCTCTTGGTATCTTGTGATGCTTATACATTCTTATATCAAGGTTAAATGTCGACCCATCTTCCCTCAACAACTTCCTCATCTATTTTACAGTAATCTTGTTAGCCCTACCTCCTAGTTTACTGTAGCAGCAGAGCTATTAGGTTGGTACAAAAGTCATTGCCGTTTTTGCCATTACTTTTAATGCTATTATTTTTAATGGCAAAAACCGCAGTTATTTTTGCACCGACCTAATAAAATAACTGCCAGCCGAGGGAATCTGAAATGAGACTCGAACCCTAGTTTGACCGCTCACGAACTCGGCCTCTTAGGAGAGGACTGTCTCAGGGAGTCAGTTTCTTCTTTGTGTGTGAAACGGGAAAGGACGACGCCCCCCTACCTTACCGAGGGATTGAAGCGATAGAATGAGACTCGTAAACTGCACAGCACTAAACGAATACCACTTTGCCCCCTTACTATGTCATTCCTTGTTTAATTTAATGCCAGGGCCACATACCGCAGCATAACTAATAGGGATAGGGCGTCCGCAGGGAACTACCTCGAAGCAGATCTTTTTCTTTTGAGGAAAGGGAGGGCTCGGAGCTGCTGGGAGTCGTAGTCTCGGCGGCGGTCTCCGCTGAGCTCAAAGGAAAGAACTACAACTCCCGTGAAGCAGTGCGCGGACAGCTCGCACAGCCCCTCCTCCCACAACCGGCGCGTGCCCCCAAGAGAAATTGGGGGTCTGCGCGCGCGCTGGGATCTGCAGGGCAAGCGCGAAGGCAGCTTCCTAGTGGTAGCCGTGAGAGCAGATCGAGGAAAGGAGACCCATGGCAAATTAAAAAATAAAAATAACCGTGCACTACTGCCTCACCACCCGGACGGGCTGTAAACCCATGCTACTTCGGAGTCGTGGGGAGCGCGCTCCCGGACTCCAGTCTAGGGCTTCGCGGACTTAAATTAGCAGAGGCGGGAAGGGGCGGGGCCTAAGGCGCGGGGCGGGGCCGTAGGCGGTGCGGGCGGCGGCGGTGGCGGGGCCAGGACCCAGACATCTGGGACTGTTGTTGTTCTCTCGCGGCGCGACCGCCTCAGTCACTTCGCCCAGAGACCCCGACCTGGTCCGCTGGGGAGCAGGCGGCCATAAGCCCCCTCTCTCCCGGTTCCCTGACGCCGCAGCAGGAGCTGTTACAAACACCCTGCGATTGGTCTCCAATGCCCTTCAGTGAGGTGGGGACGCCCGGACCCTGGTGAGCGAACCCCAGGCCACCCCCCACCCCAACTCAGTGTCTTCGCCGGCCCCCGGCACGTACACCTGTCTGGTCGCCATGGCTGAAAACACAGAGGGGGATCTGAACTCCAACCTGCTCCACGCCCCCTACCACACCGGGGATCCTCAGCTGGACACGGCCATCGGGCAGTGGCTCCGCTGGGATAAGGTGGGTACCTGGTCAGCCCAGCATCCGCCGTCGCCTCCCCCACATAGTCTGCTCTTTCCTGTACCCACCCAGCGCCCCACGGGCTGCAGAGGAGATGGCTCGGGACACCGGGCGGGGGGCAGCGGAGCAGGGCGTTGCCACCCACCTATGCATGGGGTTCCTCCTTCGGTCCGCCAGAGCCGAACATCTGCATCGCTTCCTTCTGCGGTGCTCTCAATTGTAACCTCCCTTCCTCTTCTTTACCCTCTTTCCCTTCAAGTGCTGTCTTCCCTCTTTCTTCCAAAAAAAAAAAAATCATTGTAAGTTATACCCTAAACAACGATTTCCTTTCCCTTTTTCTCCCTTGACTTCCTTCTCCACAAACCTGAAAGTGGTTTCTGGCACCCTTACTGGGCGTTTCTAACCGCTATCTGCTTTAGTTCTGGTCTGGTGTGTTTCCTCCTTCTGTCGCTAGGTAATCGCTGGTCTTCTATCCTTGGTATTTTCTAGTATCACCTTTTGCTCTTGGGAAAGGCAAGGCGCTTACCTCTTCTTTCTCCTGCTGGCAGCTATTTTCTGGAATTAATCTGTTCAAGGAATCGTGTTTTCCAGGTTTCATATGGTACTCTTAATACAGGATTGTTTTTGCCTTAACCCTTACTTCTCTACCAACACCTCCCCACCCACGCTCCGCCCCCACCTCCAAATTGTTGCGGTAATTAAACCTTATGCGGGCATTTGGGATGGATTTGTGACAATCAGAATTAAAATGCAGCTATCTTACTTGTAAAAGAGGTCCCTGGTGGCTCCAACAAAGGAAGATAATCCAAGCTTTTGCTTTGTCAAGTGCATAAAATACCTTTGTTGAAGTAGAGACGGCAGCACATTTAAAATGGAATTAATGACACTGAATTAAGGAATTTGTATGGTATTATGTGACATCATGTTGTACAAATGAATTTCCTTAAGGCTTCTCTTTCTGAAAGTTTTGTTTTTACTTTGTTCATTCATTCATTCAGCAAAAAAATATTGAATGCCGAGTGTGTGTTTTAGGTCTTGTTAGACCCAGGAAATACTTGTGAGGAAAATAGAAAGGGTTCCTGCCCTCAACAAGCCTCAGCAGATGAGGAAGACCAACAAATAAGCAGTTACAATGAGGTATTTGGTGTTAATTGGTCATATGTATATTGGACGAATAATTCTTTCTCTACAGTCTAATGCTTCTCAAACCTTAATGTGCTTACAGATCACCTGGGGATCTTTAATACAGATTCTGATTCAGGAGGCGTGGGGTGGGGCCTCGGATTCTGCCTAAGAATGAATTTCCAGGTGATACTAATGCTGCTGGTCTGTGGACCACACTTGGAGTAGCAAAACTTTGTTTTCTTTAGGTGCCAGTTTTAACTATACTTTTCCTAATGAGTCTCCTGATTGATTTTTTTTTTTTTTTTTTAAACAGGGTCTCTCCATGTTGTCCAGGCTGGAGTGCAGTAGCACAATCGTAGCTCACTGCACCCACTGCAGCCTTGAACTCCGGGGCTCAAGTGATCTTTTTGCCTTAGCCTGCTGAGTAGCTGGGACTATAGGCACATGCCACCATGCCCAGCTAATTAAAAAAATAATTTTTTTTTTTTTTAAGAAATGGGGTCGCACTGTGTTGCCCAGGCTTGTCTTGAAATCTGGGCCTCAAGGGATTCTCCCACCTCAGCCTCCCAAAGTGTTGGGATTATAGGTGTGAACCACCTCACCCAGCCCCTGAAAAAGAATGAAGAGAGGTTGGGCACAGTGGCTCACGCTTGTAATGCACTCTGGGAGGCCAAGGCGGGCAGATCATCTGAGGTCAGGAGTTCAAGACCAGCCTGACCAACATAGTGAAACCCTGTCTCTACTAAAAAAAAAAAAAAAATTACCCAGGCGAAGTGGCACATGCCTGTAGTCCCAGCTACTCGAAGGCTGAGGCCAGAGAATCACTTGAACCCGGGAAGCGGAGGTTGCAGTGAGCTGAGATTGTTCCACTGTACTGTAGCCTGGGTGACAGAGTGAGATTCCATCTCAAAAATAAATAAAGCAAAACAACATAAAATAAAAATAATGAAGATAAAAATTCATCAAAAGTGGAAGATAAATTCTTAATTTGTATTTAAAGTGCCTCTGAATATAAGGCATTGGCTGAAACCTGTGAGAGACAGAAAGATGAAATAGATATGGATCATATCGTTAAAGAACATAGAAGGGAAGGAAAAGCATAAATAATAGAGGCAAGTAATAAGTATCCTTAACAGAGGAATAGATTTAAGTAATTTGTTAATAAATATAATAAATTTCTTCATTGATCCTTTCTTAATAGGAGAGAATATATTTAATGGAGAAATCATATCTACTGTAGATTGATACTATAGAGAAGCTAGACTATGTCTCAGGGCACTGAAATTTAGAGTGCAGAAATGTAAAGATCAGACTCAGCATTTCTTACATTATACATTGATGACATGGGTAGTCTTTTAACATAGAGAGACTGAGTTTAACACCTGATGAATACCTATTTAATTAAAAAAGGAACCAACTGCCACCAATTATTCATGACTCAGATGAGGCATATAATCAGTTATAAATTGATTAGAGGTCAATGTGTTACTTGCGTTGGTCACTAAAATTACTAATCTTAGTCTCGGTTGGTGTATTTGAAAAGTCTTTATGAAAAAAATGTTATTTGTGCTTGAACTTTCAGAATTAGTTAAAATTAGACTTGCTAACATAAGGAGAACTATGACAAGCATAGAGATAAATTTTAATGTGTGTATTAAGAACTTTTATTTCTGCTGTTGCTCAGGGTACATAGAAAATTTTGGAAGGATATGTAAAGACCAGGTCATAGAAGGGCTTTAGTATGTTTTGAAGGGCTTAAATACACACAGGTGTGCATGTAAATGTTAAAAAGAAAACAATGCAACAAGATGGGCTGTTTATTGGGGCAGTTTGGGGTACTCCACGTAGTTCCTATGGGGTGGCTTTCTGTTGGTAAATTTACAAGTCCAGAATGTGACCTTCCAGTTCCTGAGCCTTCAGCCTAATTTGTTAGCCTACCTTGTCTCAGGATGGACTCACTGTGCTCAATGTCACAGAAACTGATGTCTGAATTCAGAATGTTTTATTAATGTATGGTACAGATGTAATAGCTAAGTAGATTTGTTTCTATTCAGGGCATTTTCTAGATGCACCATAGGAGAAGTCAAAAGAAGATTTTTATTGGTCATGAAATCAAATCACAGGGAGTCAGATATATGACACAAACATTTAACAGCATCAACCTGTAATAAGTAAATGCACACATCTCCACAATGGGACTATCTTACCACTAGAACCCAAAAGTCCTAGATCAAGGCATTTCTCCTCCAGGCAGTGAACAGATGACTCTACTACAGTGGTCTCTCCTTCTATGCTCTAGGGCTAAGTCACTCACCTCCTTCCTAGTTCTTTTTTTCAGTACTTTCATACATTCTGTCAAATTATAGATAAGTTGTGCTGGCCCAGAAGCCAGGTTCTCTCAATATAATATGTCCTGTTCTTTATGCATTGTTAATATTCTTTTTAAAAGCAGTCCTATATGTAAGATGTTAGGCACTGGCAAAGTGGATGGATCAGTGGCTGGATGGGGAATAGAGCTGGGACATAGGGCAGAGCTGCTCAGCTTGCTATAGCAGCTGCCACAAAGGTGTTGAACTTCCTATATATCGACAGCGATGTGGAGGCAGGAATTGGCCATGGCATTTTAAGAAATAGCAAGTAGAGCACTCTGGTTTCAGAATGTAGGTCTGTGTTGAGAAAGAGTATCATGTAAAGTTCAAGGTAGCACAGGCTTATAAAAAGCCTGAAAATGGAAATAAAATACTTCAATCTAGGCCAGTGATTCAAACATTAGTCTAATGGTAGAAGTTTTTTTCAGTGTCACTCGCATGATTTTCTGTGCCTCGTAATGTAGCCCAGGTAGAAAAGGTGATGAGTGAATTTCCTTTTAAATCATCCTTATGTGATGGGAAATACACCCATGACATTCCTCAACAAAGGTGGTCTACTCCAGGGTCATTGTATGGAGACCCAAAGAAATTGTGGACATTATCCAGTTACGGAGCTTAGATGGGCGCTTGGATCTGCCACCTAGTTCAGTCCAATTTTTATAATACTAGTTTATATAACATTTTTTGTTCACATTTTTCTAATACTGAATTTGGCATTTAATCAATGAAGAGTGCAGAACATATACATATGGCTTTATTACTTTTGGGAAATGCTAGTCCTTATTCCTTGAATTTATTTCTGTAGTGTTTCAACTTTGGTAAAATGCTCTAAGTCTCGTTTGCTATTCATAGCAACAGTGTGTTAGGCAGGTAGTAGTTATCCCCATTTTTACAAGTAAAGAAACTTAAGCTCATAAAAGAAAAGTGACTTGCTCAAGGAGATATGGCTTTTAAGTGGTAAAATTGGGACTCAAACTTAGGTCATCTGACTTTTACTGTATTCTTATCACTGTGGTAGACTCCATAAAGCAAATGTTTAATACATGTTAATGACAACATAAGCTAAGTTTCAAGGCCCTCATTAAAACCATTTTATTGGCTTTTATAAAGCTGGAGGAGGATGTAATATTATGCAGAATAAATTGCCATGGATTTTTTTTTAAAGAGCTGAACAGTTGCTTTGGTCTCCTTGGCAACAGTGTTCTCCTTCTGTCCAAGAAATTTAGTACATATAAATGAATATTTGAATTTTTATTTTTAGAATTCAAATTCATTTTTTCTTTTTACTTCCAAATTTCCTACATTTTCTCCTGTTTTCATCATTTTATTTGCAATTTATTTTTTTTTGAAGAAATACATGCTTATGATTTTAAAAAATAGTACAGAAGGGAAAACAATGGAAAACAATGATCCTAACTGCCTCTTCTTTTCCTCAGTTTGCTTATAGGTCATTTTAAGTTTCTTTTTAGTTATTTTTGTGGTTACCATGAAAAGACCAAGTAATAG